CACACCTGGGAGCTGCCGTTGAGAACAACGCCCCGAACATGTGGCCTCATCGATCACCACGTGGACCCAGCGGTAGATGATGGACCTCGCAGCGCACCCACGGGGAGCACGAGATGGGAAATCTGGTGGTTTCATCGACAGCTGGAGAGCACCGACGACGCTGAATGATTAGGAGACGTAACGATTCCCCCTCCCCCCCCTCCGCGCGCAAGAGAGAGAGAGAGAGGGAGAGGAGTCTGTGGAATTCTCACGACTCGCAATCGGTGCTTCGCGGACTCGCTATTTTCCTTCTCGCGCCGCTACTTTCGGGTGCGTTATAACCCGATGGTGCCACGTGCGTAAAATCCGTAGCGGCGTTATCAGAAATAAAATGGTGAATTGTCGCTTGTGTTTTGTTGCTGTTGTTACCCCATCACGGCTTTGGGCGCGTATCGCATTGCGGAGCGTGAGAATCGATTCAACCGACGTGGCTAATGTGGCTTGCCGAACCCGGTACCGTCACTGTAACTGCTACCCCCACCCCCAGCCTCCATCACCCCCCCCCCCGCCACTCACTCGAAACTACGCGGTATGAACACATGAACGAAGGAGCGAATGAATCTGTCGCCCATCTGCGCCCGAGCGGACGCCACCCAACCCTTTGCGACATCAACTTCACGGGGCACGAAGCCTCTGCGCACAGCCGTGCCTCGGTGCAGACGAGGCCCTTCCAGCACGCTCTGCCACGCTACCTAGACTTGTGTACATGTCACACGTGCGAATTGCATGCCCGTAGTGCCAAAGCAACCACGGACTGGCATCTCCACGAACGTGGATTGATGGATTTTTACAATCGCCATCTGTTCCCTCTCAATGGGTCTGCTGTGATAAACTGCAGTCGGAGGCAAGGAAATTTGAGTGCAAATGATTTTGATCGTCGTTATAAATCATCTCGTCCGAAACGTTGCATTTATTTCACGTTGCCTAATTTTTTTTTGCACCACCGTCAATAGTTGTGATTTGTGACAATTTGAAGAGTTATGACAATCATTGGGGTGGAGAGGTCTTCATCCAGCAGCGGATTGACACAAGCGGTTTGCATTCGTTACTATCATTGTCAAATTTATGACAATTTTTCCGCTTAATTGTCTTGCAGTACAATCGCTTGGTATCCTTGAGTTTGCGTCGGTATCACAGGTCTCCCATGAGAGAGAGAGAGGTGTAATTTAAATGAGCTCTCGCACAGATTAAAATAAAGGATGTGACTGACTCGGTAGCAGTTGCTATCCCCCCCCCCCCTCCAAAATTTATATTCTATGCCTCCTAAATTAAATATCCATCACGGACTCCCCATGGATAGTTGCTTCTACCACTCTCAATTCAAAATCGATCCAACACACCTGCTCATAGTCATCGCGAATTAGCGCCTGACGAGCGCTTTCATTTCATTTACGTAAAGTGAACGCAGTGCAAACCTCCTCGCTCACTGCCGCCGTGAGAGAGGAGCACATCACCCGCATCATTAAATACCTCCACTGGCCCCCCCAATCCAGTCCCGGCTCAACGACGAGATTGACCCAATCATCGTCAAGCTCCTCCATGGACTGCCCACCCTTGCATAGCTCTCCGCTAACCTCACTACTCCCCCTCCACGCACTCCGCTGCCTCTCCCCACTCATCTCCCTACTACTACTCACCTGCACGTTCCCTCTTCTCCACCAGATCATCTCCCAAATCCCCGTTCGACCGTGGCTTGTTCGCTGGGAGCTCATCCCCTTCCCCGGCCGTCCGTGCTGTCCTTGTCCCTTGTTCCATTAAAACCCGAGACCTTTCCGTTTCCCTTTGTTCCCGTGACGATCTCCCATGTGTCTGCGCCAGTGGTAGCTATTAACCGTCACTGCAGCCTTGCACCCCTTGGGTTCTCAATAATAAAAACATGGACACTGTTAATACACACTTAGAGTTTGATGAAACAAAGTAGTTGTAACTTACATGCCCGCGCTTAACTTGTGTTCCGATTATTTTCCTTAACAACTCTGCCCATGTCTCGCACCCACGGAAAGGGCATCTCGCACCCAAGGGGTGCGCGCGTGCACCCCAAGTTAAGAATACACTGATCTGTGGAATGCCTCGAGTAGGCGGAGAGGTTTACAACTCCCTTGCTTGTCGCCGGTACCATGCGACACCCATGTTGCGCTTTTGGCAGCGCGACTCGAGGACGCAGTTACAGTTAGACAGCCACATTAGCACACGCGATGTCGTACTGCATCGGCCGCTTTGCGTCATTAGACCGCAATTATGCTTCGTGTCGAATCTGTTATCCTTCTCCCCGCGCCTCCAATCGACACTGTTGCCTGCGTGCCGTAAGCGAACAGAAGTTCGCCATACACACGCGGCACCCCTCCAAGCGGGACACCTAGCTTTACCGCCTCATTCCGTGGCCTCTTCGTCAACTCGAGAGAACGTCGCCTCGTTGTTGCGACAGTTGCAGCCAAGGAGCAGAAAGCGCGTTCGAGAAAAATCAACCATCCGACGAGGAAATGGCACGGACGGAATGAGTTCCCCATGTGCAGGTGCTCGAAGCATCATCATCATGATTACACTTTGCATGATCCTGAGATATTGTGACAAGTTTGGGGATGCCCCTCATCCAGCAGTGGAATGACCAGAGCCGATGATGTGGCTATGAACCTTGTTGGTATACGGGACGCGGTATTAGTCAAGCAGAGTCAACCACGTGTTGGCCGAAGAAAACCCATCCTTCGATTAATAATCGATTGTCGCGGTTCGCGCGTCTCGTCTCGCGTGTACAGAATCATTGGTTTCGAATCGTTCAGTTCGTACATCATCAGCCACTAGTGGCCGCTAAATTTAGTCGAACGTCAACAATAAACAGAGACACTGATTCTTGTAGTTTCAACAACACGCAAACACGTGCACTCCGCGTACGAACAGCTCAGCGCTAAGCATTGTTATGCAAAACCAGAAGTTCCTGTAGCACTGCATTGTCGTGACCTCGTCTTAAGTCGCCATCGAACAATAGGAGCAATTGTGACTGACGGGCAGCAGGGATACGAGCCGACTGTGGACAGAGTCGTCATTATTAGGACTCATCAGCACATTCACATGTTTCTGTTCTGATGGGGTTTTTTGTTGTTTACGAACAATAACAACTTCACGAAGTATTTCATTGTCATGCCGGCACTCAAGGTGTCGTATGGATAGTCGATCATTCACGTACACATTGTACCGACGTCCTTCCGCACAACCAGCCCCTACTCGGGAACATGGTTGATATGTACGCGTCCTGTCTATCGCGTCGAGTTAACACGTTTAGGACACAGCAGAAGAGTATTCGGTCAAATTAAGCCACAGGTGACAGATTGTCCAATCAGAAACGCCGACAACAATCACGACACCGCAACAAACAGCACGACAGCGTTAGCTACAGGCCACGACAGCGGCGGCATTTCGACTTCGTGAAGTGAACGAAAAGGCGCATATTGAACTCACCAGTGTTTGGTGAGACGATGGTAGCGATGATGCACATGAACGGTATAAACACACACACACGCAGGGTGGCTACAGGGTAGGCATAATGGGGAAAAGCACACACACACACACCTCGCCGTGATCCTCATGAAATCTCAACTTCGTTGTGCGGCCGGAACACGTGGCCAAACAAAGCGCTAGGCGTACGTAACAATCTTATTGTTCGAAAGGAATATGCGGCATCACGGCGGCCGACTCGACGTTTAGAAAAGCTAGGAGGCAGCATTATTAGTATTATTACACGCGTCGGATATTGTGAACAAGCGAGTTTTATATTGGACACCCGACCAGACCTCATGGGACATCTGGGTAATTCGGCGGGAGCGAGCAGGTGATGGTGGCGAGCACACAATACATGTTCGTTAAGCTTATCGCGCCATACGCAATAATACAACAAGTAGTAATACTTGTCATTCGTTTACGATTCCAAAACAACAATAATGTAATTGGTCACTTATTTGAGATTTAAAACGTGCGCAAGGCACGCCGCTCCCACGCAGTACGTAGCAACTCACATTCGTCACTGTCCTCACCTACAGTATATATACACACAGTGATAGGCGACGTTTCGTGCAATTACCTTCTCCATGGCGCACGAATTACGGATTTACTCTGGCGTGCGGTATATGCGTCATTTGCACGTTATGCTTCACTGGTGTCACAACAAGCAACAGCATTGCCATCGCCACAGCTCGGGGTAAGTACAGCGCCCTGCTAAGCTGTGTGAGTAGCTGTGCTTTGGATAATAGCATCGACTCAAAAGACAGCGAACCCGTTCCACAATAGGATAGCAGCAGCATAATCATCATCATCATCAGCAGCAGGATTTCATCAACATCACACCTAACATCGCACATCACGACCATCTCTCGGAAAATTAGCGCCTCCATGTCCTTAATCTTTCGTACCAATTTATCAATAAGAGCGACACTAGAAGTTACGGCTCGTAAACAGCAAGCGCAGACGCCCTCTCATTGTGACGCATCTCAATAACCCCGAACAAGTGCGCATACTCCGCACAACCTCCACTTCCTCCACCTCGTCCACCTCGTCGTCTTCTCCAAATAGCCATCAATTCGACTGTAACGCAAAACAAACTCCCGCATTGCTCGTACGCCACCCGCACGTCGTCCTTGCCCGCCTCTGCAGAACAATAACCCCTCGCGCGAAGCGCAACTCGGCGGGAAAGGCGGAGGAGGATCGTTGCCCGCAAACTTCCCTTCGCAGTGACTCCTCAGGCGGAGAGACACTCTGCAACGTCGCCCACAGCCGCTAAACTTGAACTTTCCGCCGTCTCAACAGTTGCCGAACTCTCTCGAAACGCAGCACGCACAACAGGGCCACACAAAACTCGACTCATCCCGCGAACCAAAAGGTAAACGACGATGCAAACACTCGCAACAAAAGCACCACCATCAACATCAACAACATCAACAACAACAACATGACAGCGCTCGACTGCTACTCACCGACACCCGCGCCCAGGACAAAGAGAGGGAGCGGTCGAGAACACCGCGGCGAGTGGCGCGCGTCACTCGCCGCACGCCTCGCCAAATCGTTACGCGATCTGGTGCCGAGCCCCGCACGGACAACCCCAAGTTCACTCGAAGAAAGCCACAAAGGGAGGGGAGGGTGGGGGATGGGCGAGGGGGGGGGGGAGATTGCTCACTCGGCCCTGCGGCTCGCCCACCACGCGACTCGCAGCAACATCGCCCGAGCGAGAGTTGGCGGTGCCTCGCTCGGCAAACTCACGCGCGCACTTTGCACAAAAGGAGGGACGTGGCCGATACGGGGCAACAGCGAGAGTCTCTCACTCTCTCACTCTCTCACTCATCCCCCGTATAGCCTTAACAGACTGCTGGGGCAAGTGCTGTTAGCGAGCACCTATAAAGGCCGGAACGGTACACGAGGGGGTGGGTGGCCAGCACCACGCCCGACCGCCTTAGTCTCCCCAGTGGCAATGTTTTTATCCACCGCACCAGGTACTCATTTTAGGCTAGGTCGACCTAGGGGAGGCTCAGGACCGGTTCAGATAATCGTCACTGGTGTTGGCCGTGAGCGGGAATCGAACGCGGGTCGCCAGGTTCATAGCGCAGCGCGCTAACTGCTACACTACCGCTCCCCACTCTCACACTCACTCACACTCACTCACTCTCACACTCACTCTCTCTCACTCACATTCTCACACTCTCACTTACTCATCTCACACTCTCTCTCACTCTCTCACCCTCTCACTCACTCACTCTCACACTCACTCACTCTCACACTCTCTCACTTTCTCACTCTCTCACTCTCACTCACTCTCACTCACTCACACACTCAATCACTCTTTCACTCTCTCTCACTCACACTCTCACACTCACTCTCTCACACTCACTCTCTCACTCTCACTCACTCACATTCTCACACACTCACTCTCACTTTCTCACACTCTCACACTCACTCACTCTCTCACTCACTCACTCTCTCACTCACTCACTCTCACACTCTCACTCACACTCTCACTCACTCTCACACTCACTCTCACACTCACTCTCACTCTCACTCACTCTTTCACTCTCTCACTCACTCTCACACTCACTCACACTCTCTCTCACTCTTTCACTCTCTCTCACTCACTCACTCTCACACTCTCTCTCACTTTCTCACCCTCACACTCACTCTCTCTCTCACTCACTCTTTCACACTCTCACACTCACTCACTCACTCTTACACTCACTCACTCTTACACTCTCACACTCTGACTCACTCACTCTCTCACTCTCCACACTATCTCACACTATCTCACACTCTCCACACTCTCCACACTCTCACACACTCTCACACACTCTCACTCTCTCTCACGGGGCGTGAGTGGACGGACGGGGGGGAGTGGAGGGGGGTGGACGGGGGGGGGGTGGATGAAGGGGGTGGACGTGGAGGGGGGGTGGTGGAGGGGGGGTGGTGGAGGGGGGGTGGACGGGGGGGGGGTGGACGAGGGGGGTAGAATGGGGGGTGTCCGTGGGGTAAGGCGCGGCCACGTGAACGCGCGGCCCCCACCGCGTACAGCAGCGCGCACCAACATCCGGAACTGGGTCCGGAATTACTTTGGCACCCCCATTTCCATCTGCCCTAATTGTGTTCTCATCGTAGCCGATATTCCTATTACCCTGTTCATAGGATTTCAACAACATGTGGTGCATATTCTTGGTTCTTTCGGTAAAGTCAGGTAGAAGGGAAACACTAACATAATAAAAATATAAAGCAATAAAATTCTCACGACGTTTCGACTGCAACACAAGCAATCATCATCAGGTGTCAAAACCACAGCAAGAAAAAAATAAAAAAGTGGTGCAATAAAATAGGAATATTATTGATCGGTAGGCGTTCGTGTGTACTCTAGTGGTAGTTCCTTACGCCGAAGATGCCTACTCCAAGCCAGTGTTAGCAGCGTTCTGGAACTTGGCGAGTGCGAAAGTGACCCTTGATGTGGATTCTACGAATTGCGAATGAGCTGTGTGCGTGGCTTGTAGCTTTGTGTTCCTCCATGCAGGGGTTACACAAACTCCACTCCATTCTCCAGGGCTGAACAAACAAATGACGTCGATACGCGCTGCACGCGCCCGATGATTTCTGCACGCGCCCCCACATGAAGTGGAGCGCGTTAATTTGTTTAGAGTCGTCGCTCTCCTATCTTACAGCACGCGGAACAGGTCCACACACAGTGCCCGTCTTTCATTACATTACAATCGGCGCTCGCTGTATCGCGTGACAGTTGTTTACCAATCACCGGGCGCGTGCGGCGTGCAGCGTGCAACGACTTAGTTTGTGTGTTGAGAAGATGTCATTGATGTTTATGAGACCTCCTTTGCCAGTAGCAAGATATAGTAATAGGTTTTTACCCTTTTATCTGGCACCAAAACTGACACCTTTGTACAAGGTATCATGTTTGCAATAACCACAACACAAGCAGTCAAAATGCAAACAAAAAGAGACAACTCTGATAATAATATTCACTGTCCTTGAATTTGATTGGTCCACACCCGAGACGGCTTTTCTTAGAGCCCTTTAGTCTCCACTGGTGTTGGACCAGATGACGCCAAAATGCGTACAACTCAAAAACAGCGCACTATCAGAGTATTGAGAGCTCGGGCTAAGCATTTACATTATGATACCTCCTTTGCCAGTGCTACTGGAGGTCTCATAATGTAAATGCTTACCCCGAGCTCTCAATACTCTGATAGTGCGCTGTTTTTGAGTTGTACACCTTTTGGCGCCATCTGGTCCAACACCAGTGGAGACTAGGCTCTAAGAAAATCCGTCGCGGGTGTGGACCAATCAATTTCAAGGACAGTGCATATTATTATCAGAGTTGTCTCTTTTTGTTTGCATTTTGACTGCTTGTGTTGTGGTTATTGCAAACATGATCCCTTGTAAAAAGGTGTCAGTTTTGGTGCCAGATAAAAGGGTAAAAACCTATTACTATACTCTTTGGTTGACTTTACCGAATAGAACCAAAAAGTATGGATCCTTGCAGTCACGAAAGCTTCAAATCTAGAACCTATTACTATGTCATTGATGCTGCAGCTGCATTGGCAGTGGTGCACCAATAACAACAACGAAAACAACTCAACGCATTCAACAACAACAGCAACCTTCTCCATCATAGGGAAACTATATAATAGGCGACATTTCAAACAATGGCCCTTCGTGCGCTACGAAGGTCCATTGCCCGAAACGTCGCATATGATATGTGTTGCTTTTTTGTTTGTACACGTACGCGTGTGTGCTTTGATAACGCCACCCAACAGGGGTTTCCACGACTCCACTCCTAGCAAACCATCGCGCATCGCACGTCCATGCTCCGCACCAGGTATCACTCCGTTTGAATGAAGTCGGTGCTCGCCGCACGCGCCTGATGATTGGTAGAGACGCCTCACGTGCGTGACTCAGAAAGAGCCACGATGCGAGTTGATTGACATCGAGCGTGTGTGTGCACGTGTGTGCACGTGTGTGTGTGCACGTGTGTGCACGTGTGCGCACGTGTGTGCACGTGTGCGCACGTGTGTGCACGTGTGTGCACGTGTGTGCACGTGTGTGCACGTGTGTGCACGTGTGTGCACGTGTGTGCACGTGTGTGGGGAGCGGTAGCCGCAGTGGTTAGCGCACTGTTCTATGAACCCGGCGACCAGAGTTCGAGTCCCGGTAACGAGCGATATCGGTGACGAATATCTGAACCCGTCCTGGGCCTCCCCTAGGTCGACTCAGCCTTAAATTAGTACCTTGTGCGATGTGTAAAAATCTCCACTAGCGAGACAGAGGCGACCGGGCGTGGTGCTCGCCACCCAACAGCAACGTGTGTGCCTTGCCGGCGTTCATTGGTGCTCGCGAACAGCACTTGCCCCAAAAGTCTGTAAAGGCTATTCGGGGATCTTTGTCTTTGTGTATGTTCAGTGTTGCACCCAAGCGACTCTCGCGAGATTGTTCTGTGCTGTGCACCGGGTGTTCAATTCGCTTTCCCGTACTTTCCTGATTATTAGACGCACTTTATTACTCTGCGCTTTAAATAAATAAGTTGCGGGTGCGTCTTATAATCCGGGAGGTGTATGTGTGCGTGCGTGTGACCTAGGTTTGTATTACCGTATTGACACGGGGAACACTTTCGGGGTGCGTCTTTCTTTCCGGAGCGCCTTATTGTAATCCGGAGAATACAGTAATTAAAAAAAACCGTGCTCAGATGAAACCTGCAGTCTTAATTATTCAGTCAATTAGCAACGCAACGTCGACTCGCACGAGTCTCTTGTTGCGCAACTCTGTTAAACTGCTCCCTTGACACGTGTGGTGTGCCCTCGCCTGCGTGTCAGCAATAAGAACAAACTCGCAATCTCGACAGTCAAGAGAGCCCCGCGCGCACGCGCACTCACGCACGCGCACACGGGGACACGCGCACGCGCGCGTTTCAACTCCAACACCCGCGCGGCGCGCGATTAACTTCGCTTTGCGAAAGTAGTTTACGTCCAGCTCTCTGGTGTGTGTTTGAGGGTTGTTCGTTAGGCACAATGTCCGCAGCACGTCCAGCGGAACGTCGGACATCGTGCTGTGCGGCGAGTTTGGATATATCGATGTTTGGTGATCTGTGCGGCAAGTTTGGATATACCGATGTTTGGTGATCTGTGTGGCGAGTTGTGTATACTGATGTTTGGTGAGCTGTGTGGCAAGTTTAGTCGTGATTGGTGTAAGGGTTATGTGGTTTATTTCGTGAAAACATAGGAAGTGTCTTTGAACATTCGCTTGGCATAGCAATGAATGTACCGTTCAATCTGAGACATCCCATGCGTGCCGTCCCTTCATCTGAGTTGTGGCGCTTCAGTTTCCTTCCACGTGAAGCCAAACACTTGTCAACGGAAATGGCCAAATGTTCAAATACAGAACTCCCCCCCCCCCCCCCGAAACACGGCGTCTCGAGATTCACCGAGGCTCTTCTGCAAAGGAACACGTAAGCACTGTGAGTACTTATGGTCACTATCACCTTGATATTACTCACTCTGAGGGCCGATGGCCGATGGTCAAGAATAGCCATGGGGTGGATGGCCGATGAACGGAACGCGTCCTGGAGCCCTCCCGATGATAAGAAGGCGCGAAGCGATCAGATCGGGAGACGCAGTGGTTCAAATGAGCCGGTTTCCAGGAGCATTGGGGATTATTCCATTGCAGATTCGCGGCGGCTTGGCGGAGGCCTTCATCCAGCAGTGGATTGATCGTGGCTGATGACGACGATGATGCGGAGGATGGGGAGGTTGTTGGTGCAGGCTCGTGAGCTCGCGAGGAATGTCAGGGCACGCGGGAGGGCCTGGGGAGACGAGGCGAGGCAGAGTGCGGCAAGGCTGACCGCAGAGCGACCGCGTTGCACTGTGCAAGGCGGCAGCAGGGGCGTCTCCTCCCACCGAGTATAATTGACGAGGGTGGCTGTGTCAGTTTTCTCGGTCACACTACAATTACATCGAACATGGAGTCCAATCGAGGGAGATCATCTTACGTATCGGGCTTTCCGGAACCACCGTCCTGGCGACCCACCCGCGATGCACAATTCCGCGTTCGCCAATCTTATCGTTCAACGGTGATATAATGTATTCGGTACATGCTGTCAGCGCCTGATGATTGGTAAACATGAGCCCCGCCGGGCATAGCAAGTGCTGATTCAAATTACGATCGGGTTTTTGTGTGCGTGCGTGCGCGTGTAGACGCTTGCGAACAGCACTCGTCTCAATACGCCTGTCAAGGCTATACGGGGGATCTTTGTATTGTGTGTCCGTGTGTGTCCTTTGTGACGTAGGGAGTGCTGATTTAAATTAAGATAGAGACGTGTGAGTGTGTGTGTGCGCGTGTTTGTGTGTACACATGTGTGTGTGTGTGTGTTGCAGTGGTTAGCGCGCTGTGCTACGAACCTGGCGAACCGAGTTCGATTCCCGCTCAACACCAGTGGCGATTATCTGAACCAGTCTTGGGCCTCCTCTAGGTCGACTCAGCCTCAAATAAGTACTTGGTGCGGTGCGTCAACATCGCCACTCGGGAGATAAAGGCGGCCGGGCGTGGTTCTAGCCACCCACCCCCTCGTGTACCGGTCCAGCCTTCGTATGTGCTCACTAAAAGCACTTGTCCGAATAGCCTGTTTAAGGCTATACGGGGGATCTTTATCTGCGCGCAGCACGTGACGTGCAGAGCGCTCCGAATTCCACTCTGCGGTACCCACGTCACGTGGGACGTGTTCGGCAATTATGAATGTCATTTGTTGTTGATGGAGATTGGTGGACGTGTTGGCGTAGAGCCACCGAGGGCTGAAGCTTCTCTCTACACGCACACGCTCAAGTGGGGTTCGTGTCTGTATGTCTGTACAAGGTGAGCATCGCACATCAAATCACGCTTCTCTCGACAATGTAACGCTCTCTCAAGAGTGGAATTGGCCAAACATCCCAATGCAAGACAATCGTCAAAATGAGCCTTGAGACTCCGTGAAGATTTTCCGGGATACTAATAACAGTGTTATCGTCACTGCCATTATGACATGTGGACAATGTAAAATTAATATCGATTCAAATGTGCTTAACCGCACTATCGTGGTTACATTGATCAGCAGAGAGGAGTGCAGCAAAGTTCATTGTTGCACAAAACAAAGCTCAAATGTCCATGCTGCCCGCCTTCTCCAAACATCAGTGTTCAGACGCGACGAGGCATGGCCACATATATAACGCGCACCACGCAGGACGTGCGGAGGACGTTATCCAGTCGCAGAATGAAATAAATGAAGGCGCTGCGCATGCACCCTGCCCCAGCTGCCACACAAACCGTGATGTTGAACAGCCTGCGCGTAGCGAGTGGAGAGCTGGGTTGGTGTGTGGATAACATTGGCTCAAGGCAGATAGTCCCTTGGATGTGGATAACGTCAGACCTGACTCCCACATGGGGTGGGAGGCTCGTGCCCGTGCAGGATTGGCCTCTCTCTGGCTGGCTTTGCCCGGGTCCTGTGCGCTCTCAGGCGAGTGGCGTGCAACCGCGGAGTGCATCGTCAGCGGATATTTGCATTCATTATCTCGCGTTTCAAGGGATGCTGCTGTTGCCGTGGTGCAACGGTCCAGAGGTTGTCAGTTCGTTTGCTCTCCTTGTGCGGAAGTTCAAACAATGGTGCCCAGTCTCTTCACTTCCCCCGGGCTGCCTCTGCCCACCCAGCAGTGGAAATGGGCGTAGCACAGTCAATCCATTGGCAGGCGTATGGTGGGGGTGACGTGCGGGCTACTCCCATTTCTTCCCAGATGTCCAGCCAGCGTGGGAGAGTAGGCCGAAGTACACTTTAAAGGGGCTGCTCGCTTGAGTTCCTCTAGACCAACAGTGGCGTGAGGTGTGAGGTTTTACATTGGTGCTAGACCAAAGATACATCTCTATTTGGGTGGCTTTTTCTGCGTGAAGCAAACAGCTCCGTGCGTTTAATGCCTTTATTTGTCCACACTTTAGGCAAAATTACCAAGCATGTATTCCCCTTAAATCCTTAATGAGCCAGCACTCTTGCCATTCGCGGTCATCAATCAATCAAGCCCCTTAGTTAAAGCCTTGCGAGGTCCCGTTGAGATGCATTAGCTCTTCCTCAAGCGTGGCTCTGGCTTGGCCACGTGGGACGAAGCCTTGGCTATTTTGACAGGTCATCTCATTGTTATTTTGCAAGTGTTATTTTGACCGCTGCCGCGAACGCATCACACGACCACCGCCATCGTTAACACGATCTCGCCAAGGTGAAATTATGCAATTCTGATAACGGTACGCGCAACGAGCGTTCTCTACAGCAAACTAAGTGGCTTCTACGAAACATAAAAGCGACTGGAACTGCATTGGCAGTGATGTATACGCACAAATTATTTTAAAAAATACCACGAATACTCTCTTAGAAAAATACACACGGGACCCAGGTGTCAGGAAATTGGCATTAAAGTGCAGTGTTAATGATGAATGTATTCAGTTTCAGCATAGGTGCATTTGCGTCCGAGAGGACGTACACCTAGGAGATGGAGCAATGGAATCATTTCGTGTGCAGGTGCTGGGTGGATTGTTGCATTGCTGATCGGTAAGAGATGGCAACAGCTTGGGGAGAGGTCTTCATCCAGCAGTGAATTGATCGTGGCTGATGATAATTGACTCACACGCAGTAAGAGGCGTGCATCTCAAGGGTTGAAATGTGTTGGTGCCTGTGGTGATGTTTTACACCCCACAGTCCAAATAAAATCCGCATTGCATCATTACAATAATACAAATGTCTGATTTAAAACGCTCAAAAAATCGTGCAGCGAGTTGCTAAGACAAGTTGGGCCACAACGTTCTAAGGATGATTATCTCAGGTGGACCTCTCAATCAGCTAATTCCCACTCAGCTTGCCTTCGCCGTCTTCTTATCTCGGAGTCAGACCTGCCGAAGATTCGCCAAAGTGGCTACGGCCAATCAGGAGCTGCGAGCCGCGCGACGTTGGCATCGTTACATCATCACTTTTCCTTTTGCAAAACTCCACGGAGGGGGGGGGGTGCATGGCAGAGCTAAAGTTGTGGTGGGCATCACAATGGCTCGGAAATTACAAACTCTTCAAGACGAGTGGTACATTATAGTCCGGTTCTACGAGACCTAAAAGGGCCACACATCAGCATTGATGTTATAATGATCATCGTTGCAAGTTGTATTCTTACCATTCTCTTCTCTGATTTGCTCCATCTCTCTATGTCTGTATCTGCTCTACCTCTGTCCCTCTCTCCTCTGTGTAAGCTTTCCTATATCCCATTCCCACCACTCTCATCATCTTTCACAATAGTCTAATTGCCACTCTGCTACTCCACAGCACCATAATTCTCTTCCTATTTAGGCCAGCATGCATGCCAAGACCCTGGCACCCTGCACACGCGATCGCTGGCTACAACCTGGCACATATAAGCCCAGGTCATGTCATGACATTTGTTTTTGTCTTCATTGCGCAAAAGCAGGCACCCGGCCTAGTTTAAATGGACCTGTGCCAACATGTGAATGGCTCCCAAGGGCTCTCATTTGGTTATAAATAAAAAGTTGGTGTGTTTGTGAAATTACGTATGCATTTATGTATTCATCCATCACTTGGATTTTCAGGCTGATCGAGAGCAAGGTGGTGCACAGCTTACTGGGAGTCCTGAATAAAAAAAAAATATCAATTTATAGAGCTGATAGCACAACTGGAATAGCATTTCGACAAACAAGTATAAAAACTATTTTTTTAAGGTTCGAGATAGTTACAGTTTCAGTAGTATGCCAATGTAGTGACCATGGTATAATTTATGACTATTTACATAATCTACACCCCTTTACATATCCTTGACTGGATGAAGGTCTCTTCATGGTTTGTTGACACTGGTTGTTTGACCATACTTCATCACCCCGGTCAGTTGGGGTTGGTGCAGGAGGGGACCCAGGACGAGTTAAGGTATCACTCGCCACTGATGTCAGCTATGGCTGGAATTCAAACTCGGAACGCAGGGTTCATGGTACAATGCGTGAGCCATTCACTGCTCCACTCGCAATGATTACTAAATTACCTTAAGGTGCTGGGATTTATAACGTTTAAACAAATAAAACCTTACAACTGCTGCATGTACATGTGTGATGCAAGCTAAACGCCATAGCCCTATTTCTGTACATTTAGGCCAAGGAGGCGCTGGCTATTTTAGAGCTGGAAATGATGACGAAACTCAACCGTCATCACCCACCACTGATGACGCCACTCCATTTGGCAGAGCAGGTCGCTTTCCTTCCATCTGGCATGTCAAGCGTACGATGAAAAGTGTGAGCCAGAAACCTCCTTTTCCAAATGGCCGAATGTGATATCCCAGTTCCCAAGTATGTCATATTTCATGAATAGCGACTCTCGGTGCTAACATTCGTTGAAACTAAAGGTCAGTGTCTGTCCACTTAAAGGACAATGTAGCAGCACTCGTGTTCAATGTTGGCAACGAGATGGTGGAAATTACAAATTACCACGGTGGGAGCCAGACCATCTAAATGCCAACCAGTTAAAATGTACTCATTTAATAAACCGTAGATGGCTCACAACATTTCCAATTGCCAGACAAATGCATTTACTGCAACAGAAGGCAAGAGATATCTGGAACCGACACAAAGGCACTTACACAAGTAGCTTGAACAGACTTCATTATTTATTCCAATATTTATTCACTTTACACAAAAAACGAGCGTACAGGCATGTCCAGAATATAGCACAACATAGGACTAATATTTAGGACACCCTTTCAGGGGGTAGAGACAAACATTATGCTTCAACCTTTTAACAAGGGGTGGGCAAACCTTGAGTTTTCGACCAGAGGTAGGGGGGCTCCACTGTTTGAGGCCACAGACAGTACATTGATATTTTTTTTTGTTAAAGTTAGGCAACTGCTTCCAGAACCATGAGACCACTTTACTTTCTGAATACAACTCCCGAAAAAGGCTATATAGGTGCAAGGACACTCACTCTCCCGTGTGGCTACGCAAGCACGTGCCGCCACCGTGATGATGGCCTGCTGGATGTGCTGTGTGCGCGCACGTGCCGTCACACGTAAGGCTGTAAACCAGGTTGTGGGACGACATCACAGCATATGACCGCGTGCACATGTGAGTGCTCAAAAAAGGCGACGCGATGCTAGAACTTGCCACGGACGGCATACGTAATATTCAAAGTAAGCTTCGGCACAACTTAGGCAACCGAGGCCTGAGACGCAAGAGAGATAGACAGACACCCGAATATAAATTCGCATGCAAAGGGTTGGTTTTTTTTAGAACCTACATCACACCACTGCCTATAGTAATTATTACAACTTGCGTCGTTACAAAAAAAATCCATCCATCGAACCAGAGACGTGCATTCGTCTTTGAGGACCGGATACAATCTACCACATTCAAAAAGTGGGTGGCAGGGCGAGTTGAGGCAAAACGTGGATCTGGAACGTGCCTGACCAGGACTCTGACCCAGTGTGACGGGGAGGCGAGCAGGCCAAGGCTACTTTAATAATTGCATAGCGCCCTGTCTACGTATTCAATGGTGAGAGGGGGTAGAAAGCCCCACTTTTGGACCAACCTAAAGCAGAACTCGTAACGTCATCTCGCCAAGCTAAGGGGCGCTCATATGCAAACATGCAGTTAAGAAAAAATAATGAACCCTCATAGACATGCGAGCAAAGTGAGGTCCAGCCGTTTTTTTTATTCGCTCAGAAATAAATTATCTACAAACGGAGCAGTCAGCCGACTGAGCATTTGTGCATCGCAGGAACACACACACAACAACGAAAACCGAAATTGAAATTTTTTTGTAAAAAAATGTTTGTACAAGAGTGCTCGTCTAAGAAAGTACAATACAGTGTTAACATATTGCACAAAGTTGCGACTATAATGGTGAAGCGAGGAGCGCACACACACACAATGGACTCGGCGCATTAAATACAGCGACACACGGACGGGAGACACCGATCATACAAAGCCGCGTTTTGTACAGTGGCGTTAAATCGTCATATTACAGTCCTTTACAAAACAAAACGACAAGTAATATAAAAACAAAAATCAGTACACGTTAAATAATCATTTCAGTAGGCAAAAATAGGAATTACATGTCTGTTGTAAGCTACTCCGTCCATTGATGGGGAGGCGACTGAAAATTTGCCATTTGATTCAGGGCATTTGACGGTTTCCCGTAACACGCAATTAAAAATCGCACACGCGGAGTAAGAAAACGATTTGTATCGATTAAAAACAAACCAAGTGACTACCACGGTCAGGAATGGCCAAAGCACTCGACTGTTGAGAGTTGTAAAGGCATCGTGTCTAGCCCTTACAGAATATGAAATACCAGAGTTATAGAGTTCTTTTTTAGATCATGGATTTTTGTAAAACTACCATAGTCACAAACGGCCAATGGTATAACATCCTTACAAAAAAGCCTACCACCCACCACTCCACCAGCTCTAACACGGTTATTTATACCTAGCCCAAAGACGACTACAAAAAAGCTAGTTAGTCGATGGGACAAACATCGACCTCTAAAAACAGTCCGCGATTTCTCAAAAGGTCCTGTTCATACGGCGAATGTGGTTGAGGTTTGGTCCTGAAATAGTTTAACTATATAGACGGCGCCTTGCTGGGATCTTGACTTATTATTATTATTCACTTGTAAAAACGGTCCCAGCGTTGGCTCCATCTAATGGCTCCTGAGAGTTAATGTTTCGGGGAAAAGGGGGGGGGCAGAAAGGGGGTTACTCATCAAGGGTCTGCAAATGGGGTGCTGAGCGGGGATGGATGGGATGGGAGGCTGGTGTATGCTTTGGGGGGTGGGGCAGTCCCTTCTCTGGAGGAGGAGGGCGAGTGAGAGGGGGGGAAGGAGACCTGGAGAGCGAAGGGGTTGAGGGTGTGGGGCGGGGGTAAGGGGTGACCCTGGGGAAGCTGCCGGCTCCTGGGAGAACCCACTGCCGCAACTCCCCAGCAGGCGGGACCCTGGCTGGCCAGCAGTAAGGCGAGAACACAGTTCTAGCGAGAGACGGGCATCGCTGCGAGGCATGGGCACAGAGCGCCTCCTCCTCCTCCACGCCGTACTCGAGTCCACGTGCAGTGCGGGGAGAGGCGCGCACTGCGCCAGCCTCATCCTCCTGCTCCAACCTCGCCCGCTCTGCTCCTCCAACTTATCATCTTCTACTCCACTATGTCACCAACCACCATCTCCTCTGCTGGCTGCGCGCCTTGCTCGCTAGGGGTATGTTCACAGAGCTACCTTGCTTGCAGCTTGGCTCTCCATAGCTTCTGCTGCTGCTGGTGCTGCTGCTGGTACTGCTGATGATAAGAGCTGCTGCTGCTGCTGATCCTTCCCCCACCCCCTTTCAGCAGGTGAACACGAGGTTGGCGATGCTCGATTCCATCCACTCCCCGGAGATCATCTCGCTCACCTCGGGCGTGCAGTAGTCTGGGAACTCGAAGTGGGAGCCCCCCCCGGAGCTGCCCGTGCTCAGCGCGTCCGCCTCGCGGTCGAGCGCGCCCAGGCTGCCCAGGATGAGATCCACGCTGGACGGGGAGGCGGGCGACGAGCCCAGCTCCAGCTCCAGGTCGAACATGTCGTCCTCGTCGCTGGAGCAAGACGAAGACGACACCGTGGAGGTGGACAAGGACCTCGACGACGACGACGACGTGGTGGATAAAGGCGGGGAGGTGACCCTCTTGATGATGGCTGAACTCAAGTTGCTGCTGCTGCCGCCGACGGTGGCGGCGGCAGCAGCAGCGGCGGGACCCTCTGGGACTCCACACTCCTCGTAGAAGCTGAGGCGATCCACAGCCTCGCCGGGGATGCTGAGGGTCGGGCTCGAGGGCACGGCGGCGCCGGCGGCGGCGTGAGACGAGGCGGAGGAGGCGGAGGCGCTCGCCTTGCCCCGCTCGCCCGCCGCGCCCTTGGGGCTCCGCTTGGCCACCCTCACTCTGCCTCCCGCCGCCTCCTTCAGCAGCGAGGAGCCCATCTTTGGCTGCTGCTGCTGTGCCTTCACCTTGCCGCTGCTCTTCTTGCTGCTGGAGCTCCTGCCCGCGGGGGTGCCCTTGGGGCTGCCCTGCTGCTGCTGCTGCTGGGCGAGCTTGGCTTTCTTGCGCGGCCGGTACTTGTAGTCCGGGTAGTCGGCCATGTGCTTGAGGCGCAAGCGCTCCGCCTCTCGGATGAAGGGCACCTTCTCGCTCTCCTTCAGCTGCTTCCAGCGGCGGCCCAGCCGCTTGGAGATCTCCGCGTTGTGCATGTCGGGCGACTGCTCCATGATCTTGCGCCGCTCGATCTGCGACCACACCATGAAGGCGTTCATTGGCCGCTTGATGTGCCCGCTCGCCGTCTTGCACCACCCGGGGCCCGGCGCGCCGCTCTCCGTCCCGAGGACCCCCACCAGCGGCCCCGGGGCCACGGAGCCGGGGTCCGAGCCCTCGGCTTCGGAGTCGGAGCGCGAAGCCGCCGCATGCTCGGGGCGATCCATGATGCTCCGGCCGCCCGCCTGCTGCACCATGGCCGTCCTGCGAGTTCCACGCTCCTCTCGCTCGTTATGTCGCCCCTGCGTTGTGACTCGCCGAGCGTCCCCCCCACCCCCTGCGTGGGTTGTGGCTGCCCGAGCGAGTTGCTGGAGATTTTCTAGTTGGGGGGGGGGGGGTGGAGCCGGGCCGGACCGGTGTGGCCGAGGTCGATGCTCGCGCGCGGAGGGCCGCCACTAGGGCAGTCCGGAGTGCGAGGCCGCGCTCCGCGGTTTGAATCCGCCTCCCTCCGGCCGCTCCCTTATATAGCGGCGGGCACCGCTCGACGTCGCGGCCACGGCCAATGGCAGCGAGGGGAGCGCGCGTGGACACGCCTGGCGCGGGCTCTGATTGGTTGTTGCTAAGGGAGCACGCGCCACGCCTACTTTGTTTTTTGAGGGGGGGGGGCGGCGCGGTTAAAAAGGGGGGGGGGGGGGAGTGGCCGACCCAGAGACAGACAATCCAGCAGTGGAGTGGAGTACATCATATACACATCATATACACATCATAGGCGCGCGCGTGTGTGTATAGACGAACACACAACCGCCACTCGCCACGAATTAATGATGCCGTCACCATGAAGACTGTGCCAGGCTAGGTGCACTTTGTGTGTACGTACACGGCCAGGCAACAACACACGCACACTATGCATGCAAGACCATTACGTAGAACAGCCCAACACACGCACACTATGCATGCAAGACCATTACGTAGCACAGCCGTGAGAGATGACGACACCTCGAGGGATGCCTTCATCCAGCAGTAGATTGATCATGGTTTTGCTGATGATGCTGACACTATGGATACAGCACAAAGAAATATAGGCACACACAAGTAGCTCATGCACACACCACTTACCAACACAAACCTCGACACACTTCATTCACACACTTCGCTATACACACACACACCGTACACTCAACTATACACACATCTCGTCCACACGACACACACTGCACATATCACACCATGCACGACGCTCCATACATCTCACTACATACACAATCCACACACACTCGCACTATACATCCCACACACCGCGTGTGCACGTGTAGCTTAGACACCCACACCAAACCTCTCGCCTACAGCCCATATGCACCTACAACAACCCTGTAGAACACAGCCGACACATCACACACATAGCCACACCATAGTCCTACGAAGCATCCTATACACATATACATGCCCCCTTTTCTCTCTCGCACACACACCAACAACAACAAAAAAACATTCCACACACAACACACACTTCACACCCACCGCAAATATATCCCGTACACACTCCCGAACACACACCCTTCACGCCACGCTTCACGACAACCACGCTCATCACAATTCACACCCCCACACACCCCCTTCAGCGCCCCCATCCATCCCCCCTCGTCTCCCCTTCACACCGGCCACATGCGGCAAGCCCCTAAGCTCCGCTAAACTAATACTCGAATCGCTGACTGAGAACGAGCGGGCTGATAAGAGCACGGTTGTTGTTGTTGTTGCTGCTGCTGCTGTGCGTACGGAGTTGCTGCTTACAGCACCTGTGGAACACGCCCGGTTACGAAGCACCGCACAAAATTAATGATTGCTCTGAATTCGGCAGAACGAGCGCCCGCCATCTCCCGCTTTAATAGCGATTAGCTTAATTGGCATTTAAATGAAGACTCGTTATCTACAGCACACCTTAATAACGCGCTGTAATCCACCTAAGTAAACCATTACATCCGTGGCGTTAATTTTCAACAACCCACAGCCTCGTACGCCAACGCACGCACGCGTGTGTGTGAATGTGTGTGTGGGTGTGTGTGTGAGTGTGTTTGTGAGTGTGTGTGAGTGTGTTTGTGAGTGTGTGTGAGTGTGTGAGAGTGTGAGTGTGTGAATGTGTGTGTGAGTGTGTGAGAGTGTGTGAGTGAGTGTGAGAGTGTGTGAATGTGTGTGAGTGTGAGAGTGTTGTGTGAGTGTGTGTGAATGTGTGAGTGTGTGTGTGAATGTGTGTGTGAGAGTGAGTGTGAATGTGTGTGTGAGTGTGTGTGTGAGTGTGTGTGAGTGTTAATGTGAGTGGGTGTGTGTGTGTGAATGTGTGTGTGTGAATATGTGTGTGGGTGTGTGTGAGTGTGTGAGAGTGTGTGTGTGGGTGTGTGAGTGTGTGTGAGTGTGACGATTATCTGAACCGGTCACGGGCCTCCCCTAGGTCGACTCAGCCTCAAATGAGTACCTGGTGCGGTGTGTAAACATTGCCACTAAGGAGACAAAGGCGGTCGGGCGTGGTGCTGGCCACCCTCCCCCTCGTGTACCGTTCCGGCCTTCATAGGTGCTCGCCAACAGCACTTGCCCCTACAGTTTGTTAAGGCTATATGGGGGGTCTTTATCTTTGTGTGAGTGTGAGAGTGTGTGAGTGTTTGAGTGTGTGAGTGGAGAGTTTCCCACACCTGGGCAGTGTGCTTATGACCGGCTCCAGTTTAACAGCAGAGGTCTCACTCCGAATCAGTCGAGCAGCAATATCTTTTCATCGGTTGCGTAACGCTGTGTGGAAGCTACCTGGTCTGTCGCTCCGCACTAAGCTTCAGGTCTTCTCGGCCACGGTCATTCCCTCCCTTCTCTACGCTTGCGAAACGTGGACCCCCCTAATGGAACATCTTCGCCGGTTAGAAACATTTAGGCTGGCCTGCCTACGATCCATCCTGGGTTTAACCAGGCTGGATTGTGTGAGGAGCTTACAAATCCTTGATAGATCTGGGCAAGGTCCCATCGGTGAGCTCCTCCGGCGGGGAAGGCTGCGTTGGCTGGGTCATGTAGCCCGCATGCCCAGCCACCGCATGCCGAAACAGCTTTTGTTCGGCCGGATTGAGGGGGCTAAACGGGCGCGGCACGGGCTAGATAAGAGATGGAGTGATGTGGTACAGGAGGACGTGGAGCTGAGTGGACTTGCCGATGACTGGTACCAGCGGTGTCAAGATCGGCCTCTGTGGAGGAGGCTCGTGAAGGACGCTTCTGGGCAGTTGGAGGCAGTCGCCCTCCAACAACAACGGAGGGCGGAGGAGCGACGCTCACAACAACGAGCGGAGCGCCGGGTGGCTAAAGCACAGCAGGTTGGCACAGTAGGGGGCACAGGTGGTGCATCAGCCAGTCATCTCAGTCATCTTAGTCAGCTGACCCGTGGCACTTGGGTCTGCCCCGTGACCTGCCAGCGGGCGTTCGACACTTCACGTGGCCTCAAGGTGCACATAGCCTGGCACAAGCGTCGTGGTGACGTCACCGCCACTTAGTGGCGAATGGCGGTTGTTGTTGAGTGTGTGAGTGTGTGAGAGTGTGTGTGAGTGTGTATGAGTGTGTGAGTGTGAGAGTGTGTGTGTGAGTGTGTGTGTGAGTGTGAGAGTGTGTGTGTGGGGAGCGGTAGTGTAGCGGTCAGCGCGCTGCGCTATGAACCTGGCGACCCGGGTTCGATTCCCGCTCACGGCCAACACCAGTGACGATTATCTGAACCGGTCCCGGGCCTCCCCTAGGTCGACTCAGCCTCAAATGAGTACCTGGTGCGGTGTGTAAACATCGCCACTAGGGAGACAAAGGCGGCCGGGCGTGGTGTTGGCCACCCACCCCCTCGTGTATCGTGCCGGCCTTCATAGGTGCTCGCTAACAGCACTTGCCCCTACAGTCTGTTAAGGCTATATGGGGGATCTTTTTTTGTGTGAGTGTGTGTGTGAGAATGTGTGTGAGAGTGTGTGAAAGTGTGTGTGAGTGTGTGAGTGAGAGTGTGTGTGAGTGAGAGTGTGTGTGAGTGAGAGTGTGTGTGAGTGAGAGTGTGTGTGAGTGAGAGTGTGTGTGAGTGTGTGTGAGTGTGTGAGTGTGTGTGTGAGTGTGTGAGAGTGTGTGAGAGTGTGTGTGAGTGAGAATGTGTGTGATTGTGTGTGAGTGTGTGAGTGAGTGTGAGTGAGTGTGTGTGAGTGAGTGTGTGAGTAACGCCGTCTGAATAATCGCGCAGCAGAGACTTTGGCCAAGGGAGCTCTCGAGCCACCGATTGGTCCGGCATCATCCAAATGTGGCGGTCGTGGGGACACGGCACCGCGAGCTCCGAGTGACACTGGCTGCTGCCGGGCACGGATGTCGAAAGGGGTGGGGGGCCCTGGCGTGCGTTTCATCAGCGGGTGGGACCACAGCGCCCGTCCGCCTCACCCACCCACCCCCCACTCCCTTACCCCACCACCAACACCACCGCTGGGCTCGTCCCCCGTCAACCTCCTCGCTCACCGCGCGATGCGTGGGAGGCTCCCGAGGCGGCGCCGTGGACTGTGCACAGAGCCGCGTGATGGTGGTGGTGGTGGTGGCCTCTGTGCGATTCTGGAAAGCGTCTGGTTCAGAGAGAGCGAGAGCTCTGTCGCCTATAAATAGAAATCGCTCGCACAGACTGCTGCTGCCTCGGCTCTATCAATAACAACAAAACCACGACACTAAAAAAAGGCCAGTGTCTGCGATTCGTTCTATATATAAAATTATTTTTTCTTTAATTAGACTCAACGACAGACTCAGGTGCGGTGTCTCGTAACTGGATGTCTTGTCCTTTCCTTGTGTGGTGTGGCATGGAGTAGCATTGACCCGCAACCCTGACTCTGAGTTAGATTCCCATACCTGTCCGGATTCTGTATCCATCCCACACGAGTCTGGGATTGGATCCATATGCCGTGTATACACATTTATATTTTAAACGCCGCAAAAAGCTATCGGCTGGAACTAGTGCAGCGTTTGTACACGTCCAAATGAGCATCATACTGCATAGGATTCAATACTGTTTTGTGGAATGTAATATGACTATTTTATCCGAAGGCACGCGAAGGCTACAAAACGACTTTAAAGAACGCCCGGAGTGAGGGTTAGGCATGCATTATGAAATGTACTCATCGTTCACGTGAATTCTAAACACACACACAAATCGCTGTCGTTAAGAACCCTATAAAAGTAACTCATTGACACTTGGATGATGAGGGTCCTCTGGTAAACGCATGCATGTGGAGGGTTCAGACATAATGACACATTGCCGATGTCTGGAGTCTGGATATTTGAGACTGTCATCGTAGCAAACAATAACATCGGTCTTGACCGCTGACTTTGAGTCAAGCGCCATGAGTCAAGCCTCAGTTCCGCTGAGTTTACAGTGGGCCCACTTAGTGTGAAGTGTCAAGTTCGTCCACGGCAGAAGCGCAGGACCGCATTATCAACATCCTGTTTGGTTAGACATGGTCACG